GAAGACTATTGTATCGTTAAAAATTATTTTTTTATTTTGTACAAACAAAATAAATATATTGAAAAATATAAAAACAATAAAAAATTATACTTCAGAAGTTAATTTAGTATCAAAAACGTAAAATATTTGAGTAGCCCAAGACATAGCCAAAGATTGCAGCGCCACAGCACTGGCGAAAATTTAAATTCGCCGACTGGAATTCTTTCGGATAATTGACTTTCGGATAATCGACGCTCGACTGTATAACCATCCACAATAGAGGCATTCTGTGTCATTTGTCTTTTGTTTCCTATTAGGCCTACCCTTGCTGAAGGGGCCTGTTTGTCGTCTCTGTAGCAATAAAGTCTGCCTCCGAAAATACTTTTGGATTCATAGGTCATATTCATGGTCAACCTGGGGCTAGACGGGTACCCCATCTTGCCCCCAACGTACACTTTTCATACGGACTCCAAACACAGGTAAACTTCATTTCAAAACTAAACAGTCTTAAAGGTTACTTCGAATACCATAATATCTTCATCTAAAAGGTAATGTAAAAGTTCACAATGATACTTACTTTGTAGAAACTTTTTAGCAGGCGTAAAATTAGATGAAGTATTGCTGAAACTTTGAAAAACGTGTCTTACTTCCAAACAAAGAGAGCGATTTGGACGTTCTCTCGCTCCATGATCCTTTCCAGGTAGACATTTAGTTCCCCAAATAACAGCTAGATAAAAGCACATTAACCACAAATAAACAGACGTCCCCGTCTTACCCCATGACCCCATCTTGCACCACCTTTCCCTATATATGAATGTAGGTCGGCCGGATGACCAAGACAGTTAAAGGTATAAAGCCTATTGCTGTGGTAGACCCGAGATCAAATCCGGGAGATCAAAAACTACAGAAAATTTTCGAAGAATCTGTCCCAGATATGTCGGAATTGAATTGATGATATAAATGAAACATAACACATGGGCAATCTACCAAGGGGAATATCTTTCGGGAAGACTTTCTACGGGGAAACTGGCCCCTAATTAGTTGTTAGACACGTGAAGAAATCCGGAAAACTCTATGCAGCCAGCCCGTTAGTGAGACGCAAATACTCGATCGAAGAAGCATCAGTGTTCAGTGATTATCTACTCGGCTGCTAATGGGCCGAATATGTGGGCCCCGTCCCTTTTATACACCTGATCAAATTGATAATAGATATTATTGATAAAGGCGCTCTTACTGCTCATCGGCGAAAAGAGTAAAAAAATGAAATATATGTATACTGTACTGCTACATAAAAGAACTTAGTCAGTTCTTATCTGTTTCAACGAACTGTCCCTGTTTTAATACTTCATATCCTTTTAAAATTCTTTTAACTGTTCTTTTTAAAAAATTTTTAGTTTCAAGAAATGTATATTTGTTCGGTAATATGTTCACATTAAATTATATGACGAAACATAATATTTTGTGTTGGTAAAGAGAATAATCAGAAATTAAAAATTTGGCCTGTTTCTAATAGTAAATGTGTTGTAATTAAATTTATAATTTACTATAACATATTAAGCTATATAAATTTGTTAAAAATATTCGAGCGGACATAATTAAATCGCTGTTATAATTAGACCAATTTGTTTAAGTCATAAATAACGCAGATCCACCTCTGTCATACATATTTAAAAGTTCAACTGATACGGTATACTGTAATAATAAATTTCGATTTTAACATAACGATTTCCAACAAAATATCTAAAATCACCTTATAAATATTAACAAAGTTATAAATTTAAAATGATATATAGATTATATATATCATTATAAAGTATTTTTTGTAGCATATTATCGATCGATACTTAATACCTTTCATAAATTTTCGAGATCGATGAGATCAAAAAAGCACGGATAAGACAGAAACAATCTGGTGTATTGTTACGTTATTCTATATTATTATACACCGGTTGCCATAACTTTCCATGAATTTCTCGATATAATCAAATACATCAATTTATATAAATCAGATTCTAAATAAATACTCATATGTTAATTTCAAATTAAAATAATTTAATGGTACAGTAATCCAATTTTTATAACAAATTAAATAACTATTGTTAAAGAGCTCATTAAGAAAATTAAATAATAAATTTTCTATTTCTATTGGGAACGAAACAGTTAGATCATTATTATTTATATCACGAATTTCACTGGTTTCAGACTAGTATTTTAATTATACAAATGAAATGTAGTCATATATTATTATTAAAACTTTAGAATGTCATGATGAATAACATGACAACGTAATCATAACAAATTTTTTTTTTTTTTTTGCTAGAAAGGAATAGATTCATTTTAACAATAACCTTTTTTTTATTTTTGGGTCACTTTGTCTTATGAACACTGAAAGAACCTTTTTAATTATCCATTGTGGGTTCCGTTAGGCCTTCAATGAAAGCTGCTGAGTGTTGGAGAGGAGTCCTACATATGCGGGAAGACCGTCCACGAAACACCTGGGGAACACCTGGAGTGTTGTGACCACTGGAATTCGATCCCAGATATCCCAGAATGGTAAGCTGATGCATCTCGATGAATGAATCTCGAACACTGTGTAGTAGAGATAACAGAGACTTATCATACTGTTACTGAGGACAAAATGCAACTTTATTACTGGTATGCATTTCGGTCCAAAAGCCCCATCAGACATACATGAATATAGGCCTATAGTTATATGTTTTAGATCTACACCAAAAGGCAATGCTTATCAATTACAATTATTTCTACTACACAGTGTTTGAGATTCATTCATCAACAATCATTGAGACAAGAAGCTATATATTAATGATGCATTTCGGTTACTCGGCTTCAACCAAAAATCTCAATTAAAATTGAAATTTTATTATTTAAAAATGATAATTATTTAAAGTAACCAGTTTTACTAAAAATTCTCATCACGGATTGAATTCGTTTTAATTTTAAACGCATAATTGCAACAACGATCTCCACTAAATCAGTAATATAGACTCCAGTTTTACGTCTGGCATAAATTTTCTTTAATGACTGTATAAAGTGACGTATTTAAAAGCTATATTTTTTATTGATCATTTCTGTGTAGTGCTTCGTAATTAAAACGAAACAGAATCTCAATTTAGTACACTGAGCTTATAATAACTATGACGGCCCGGCTTAACGACAATTCGCTTTGTGGAAACTGATTAAATCGTAAAAACGAGGTTCTACTTTACTTAAATTGCTTTCTCTATTTGTCTAAAATGTGTGGCGTTTTATGAGACTACTGGATGACCAGATGACCGCCTACCACTCTGGAGAACCGGGATCGAACCGGACAGTGGAGAAACGAATTTTTTGGCAGGTAATCTGTCCTGGATATTTCGAGCCCCCATCCCTCACCACCCAGACGCTTCCATTGTGGGCCTGGCCGAATCCATGATAAGCCTGAAAAAAGGCTCTCTCAATGCCCATAGAACGGAAAAAGTCAAAAATAAAAAAGATTATACAGTCGATCCCCCTATAACGCGGTAGATACGTTCCACTTTATAAGAATTTCGCGTTGTAGGAATTCGTAAATACATGAGCCAATCACAGCCCGGCACGTGTGCAGTTTACGGACTACGGCTGTTTGAAAGGTTTTCTTCCATAAAATTAATCGATTCTAGACTAATTTGACTCAACATTTCCAAAGCACGTATAATTTTTTGGGAATAATCCATATAAACTATGCTATAAACAAATAATTGTAGGATTACTTACCGAGTGTGCACCGTTCGACGACGCCATTGCTTAAGCTTGTTTTCGTCGCGGAGCAGCGCACCAAACGGCGGGCGCGCTTTCTGAGAAGTTATTTTTCTGCGAAAAATTCGTTGAACTTTGGAGACATCATTAATAGAAATAATTTTTATGGCCGTTGAATAAGAAATATTTTTTCACAAGAAAAGTATAAAATTACAGTACTGTATTAGACTTACAGTACTTAATTTATACACTGTACAGACGATAGTAAACTCAACTTACCCGCCTAAACTCTCTGCAGCGTGTAAGTAGTTCGGCTGCTCGTCCACTATTGGTTCAGTCGCGACACGAGTCGGCGATGACGTTTTACCGCATTTTACGAGCCTCTGTTAATATCTTTATACGAATACGGTCGCAATTTTTTGCTGCGATATACGAATCCGCATTATATGAACCCGCGTTATAGGTGGTCTACTGTATAATAAGTTTACTGTATGAATCATTGTTCATAATTGTTAATTCTTTTCAATTCCGACAATATTATGTAAACATATTCACACATTATTTTATATATTAAAAATATAGGAAAAATGTTCTATTAATATTTTTATGTAAACTCTCTTATCATTTCTAGACGATAGACAAAAGTTATCATCTCGCAATCAATACAATATGTTATATTATAATGATATGAAACTTGAATTCTAATCGATATTTAATACCCTACATACGATTATCTTCTGTTACTAAAATAAATTAAGTCGAAAAGCCAACGATCTATCAAATATTCTCCCAGACGCGTTAAGCCAATAATCTATTAATGAGTTTTTTTATTTTAATCGCGTAATATGACGATTTAAAAAGTAAAATACAAAAAGTAAAGTTACAAACCTGAGTAATTTGACCGTTAATCTTCCCTCCGGTTTAATCTCCACTGATTTGCCCCATTTTAATTTGGGCTGCATGGTTCCAAAAAATTCGAAATGTTCGGAATCTGCATGGAAAGCGCTGATGGGTGGATGATGACTCACCTGTTCACACATTATCCTAAAACCTAGGTCATCCCTATAAATTTAAATAAGGTTTTTCAAGAGGATAAAGTTTGAATGGAAATGTGGTAGGGGGAAGTTCTCTTACCTTACCAACTCATAGGTTTCCCCGAGAAGTGGATTAAAGGGCTTACTCAGTCTCTGCCAATTGGAAGCCAAAGCAGAAACGGCGAAGGCAGCAACATACTAAAGATAAACAATTTTCTTTGTGAATAAATTGCAAGTTAGTAATTTAATTGTAGATTCATTTTCTTAAATGGCAAATAAAGAAGAATATATTTTTACTGTACCTCTATCCTCTCCACGGCGTCGTCAGCCTGATTGGCTTTCTTTAATAGATAACTGTATTCCATATATTCCGTTATTCTTTGCAGGAAACTGAGTGGCTCGTTAAACACAACGGGCATAGCTACCTTGGACAAATCCTAGAAAAAATAAATAATTTTAGACAAAAATCGAACAAAATTTGTATTATAACTGCTTTGCTTACTTTTCCGATGCAATTTTTTAAGATGCTCCAGACGCTTACGTCATCATCGGATGTTTTTGGCACGGGTAACTTGGTTCTAGAAATATGCCAAAATTATTGCTTATTGATTTTAATAATGTTTTTCCATTGACCATTAAAGCTGAAAAAATCAATGGTTTATTTTTACATAATTAACGATCAAACGACACAGCAGGATTCTTATCGGGATAATTACTTATTAAGATACTAAGTAATTTTGACGAAAGAATTCGCCTGTATCGTTTTATTAACATATATCGAGCTTGGTAGCGTTGCCAATTTAGCTATTTTTTTGGTTAGCTAAATTATCAAAATTATAATGACGCTATCTAGCTATAAAAAATGAATTATAACAGTATTATTGGAAACAGTATTATTTGGCTATTTTTACTGAAATGTCTAGCCATAAATTTGAGTTGGAGACATTAGATTGGTTTTATAGTTAAGTAATTAACGATCAATAACAAAATCAAATTAACCGATATTAATCGATAATGAAAATCGATGGAAATTTTTAAAATACACTCGAAATTTTAAGATATATTGAATAAAAACACTTCTTAAAATATAATTGATTTTTTACGTGCACAAAAAAGAAGTACGGGTAAAATATACCCGTACTTTAAATTTGACACAATATACAGCATCATCAGGCTGAAATTATTTTTATACAGATTTCGTATAAAATGATTTATTATTATAATCACGAAGGTTTATACAAGGAATGTGAAAATTACATATTTATCTTCTGTTATTAAATTTACATCACATAAAGACATACCCCTATATTTATTGCGAACGAAATTGAATTTCTATAAAAATGCTTTACGAATTTTACAGTTACATTTTCGTCTCTATTTTTATACATTGCTCTTCTTTGATATTTGAACTCACCTTTCTTTCGGATGAATTTTTTCATTCAGTCGTCTCATATTTGCTTTCTATATAAAATTTATTACAAAGTAAACTGAAAATAACAAGATATTCTTTAACTTTTGTCGGCCAGAGATGGCGTTTCCGGTTAAGATGCGAAAAGTAATCGATAGGATATTCGATAAAACGCGCTACTTCATTATCGATTGACCAATGTCAGAGTGTCCTGAACGAATCACCGAATTTTCGTCTTTAAATACGATTATTTTCGGTTCCGAATTATTGTTTTTATTTCTAAACGCGTAGATTATTTTCTCCGCAAACATCGAAAATCGATACAAAGATGTCGAGTCTAGAAAGGATTAAAAAAAAATCTCCGTACTACGGCGATCGTACGTACTGTACGTGTATAACGTTCGAATGTGGTTCTTACCTGAAAGTCTCTACAGCTTTGTTCGCCATTGAAGTAGAGTGAAGAAAAATTTTCAAGAAACGACTAGCATCGTATATAAGAGGAAGACATCAACAATCGCGAAAAACGAATATTATTATTTTTTGCTTTGGAAATTCGTTCAGAGGCGTTGTTCTGTTATTTTCACCAGGCGGTTCTTAGTGATATCTTCCGAGACCACCCGGATGGCTTCTACCATAACGACGATTTCGTCCTTGCAGATGCAGAAGTAGGTGAGGTAGACAAGGACGCCGCCTCTCCTAATCGCGTACCTATGACGTCACCAGAACTGATCGATGTTAGCGAAAGTGGACGCTAGCGTCCTTTCTCGTCACCGAATTAACCGTTTTAGCGAATGGTTCGCCTTTCTTACGTTTGCTTAAATGCGTCGAATGGTTCTTTTTCCTTCGTGTCACGATGATTAGCATAAATGTTAATTTACATGCGCCGTTCATTCGTCGCATAAATAATCTTAATCAAAACATTTTAATATAGCAGATTCGATCGATACGTGCCGTATTCTTCTCCTTCTGGCCATATGTTCAATTTTAACTCCTTTTGCGGAGTTTTATTATATAACTCTATACAAATAACGCCATTTTTTATCCTTAGCACCTTCCTGTTTCTTTATTAAATCAGATAAACCTTATTGTTTAGCATATACATTCATCGAAACTTTCCTATTCATCCATACAAAATTAGTGTTATCGGGATTAGCAATTATTGTCATGATACTAATCTAAGCAATAAGACTAATCTCTATTGATAAATTGAGAGATTACCGCAATAGTCATATATTAAACTATAAATAATTTGAAATCTGTTTAAAAGATAAAGATTTTCAGATTCTCAATGTACTGTTAATGGAATGTTTAATTAATATAGAAAATTTCAAACTACCAAAATATCTTAACTATTTACTAATGTAAACAACTAATCATCATTATAAAGTAGAAAAAAAAGGCATTTATTTCTTCCATTTTTCCATTTATATATCAGATTACAGTACTAGAATTTCTAGAAAATTGTGAAATATTAAATTTTAAAAAATTATCTTTTAAGAAATTCAAAGAATAAATTGTAAAAAATCATTTTGAATTTTAAATATTTTAAATTGTAAACCCGTTAGATAAATAATAGTTAAATAAATTATTTATTATATTAAATAACTAAATTTTATCAAATAAATATTAAATAAGTCGGAAAAATAAAAGTAAATAAAATAAATAATTCCAGGAACTATGAAATATAAATTACAGAAACGTTTTTATATAAGAAATTAATTAAATAGTTTATTTTATTAAATTCTTTTATATATATTTTTTTTAAATTTATATATTGGAGCGAATTTCTTCTTTTTATTAAATTTTTTGATGTACTATTTTTACTTTATTTATTTAAAAATAATAAGAATAGCATCGTGTGTAAATATAAAAAATATTAAAAAATCAAACAAATATTGATTAAACTAAACGTTTTCTTTCATTGAATTTGTTATTTAATTGCTTTTATAATAAAAATTTTTTAATATTTTACTCTAGAGATTTATCATAAATGTAATTTATTTATAATAATAATAACAACATTAAAATATCTTATTGTTAAATTTAAAAATAAATACAGTTAAACCTCTGAACAACGAAAACTGACGGAAACATAAAAAATGGTCGTTGTTTAGAGGTTACTTTGTATGCCTTTTCGTTATAAAAAAAAAAATGTTCTGAGAAAATGACCACTGTTAGAGGTGCCGTTAAAGAACTTACTATAAATATAATTTGTAAATTTTTATCATTAAAAAAAAAAAAAACATTTATTTTAGTAATTTAAAAATGAACTCAATTAGACTTTCAAGTTTATATTTTAATTTACATTTTCGAATTTTATTGATTTTATATTGGAAGAGTATACAGGGTGACCGAAGAATCGAATATGTTTCGCTCAAAAAGACAATTAAATTACTGTAATTAAACTTTTTTAATTAATTAAGTTGATTAATTGTACTGTAAACGATTAACTGATATTTGGGCTTCCCAAAATTTTGAATTTCATTAAACTTCATAATTTAAATTTTTATATGGTATAATATTTTAAATAATATATATTAAATTAATTTGATTAAATAATATTTAAATACAATTTAACGTTATCTTTTGTTCTATCGAAAACTTAAATTATTAGATAAATGTATTGTTATGAAATTTAATTGCAATTGTATAATTCTTATTTTCATTACTAGTGGCTTATAATCAATAAGTGCAACATTTTTATGGAAAGATCTATTTTATCCCTGTCTGTAGGATTTTATCTTCAGGGTATTACCTAAATCAATAGGGAAAGACAAGGAAAAATAGAAGGCTTTAGGTAGTTTTATTCTGACGACTTTTTAAAACAAATAAGAATGAGGTATTCTGTAAATATATACACTCCTAAAGTGTTTGCTTACATATTTAAGTAATTTTTACGGAGAAACAACTACAAATTGAGTGAAAATTATATGTAATTCAATTTATCTTGTTTTATATAAAGATGCGAAGTGGAGAATACGGTAGCGCATTGTGAAAACACAATAAACAATTGTAGTTTACTACAAACAATATATAATTTTATTAAGAAAATGTATTATTTTATGTTACGCTAGTTACAGAAATAAACTTCTACAATTAATTCGTGAGTCCAATTTTTACAACTTTAACATTGAAACTAGACATCTGAGTAGGTCTACAGCTAGAAGAAAATGAAAGATAAAAAAATTCTAAATTTCTATTCTGAGTGGATAGGAACTGAGTTTTTGTATGTTTTTCTTCTATAAATTAAACATTAACTGTACGATGTCCGCATTTTTTATACGAATTGCTTTACGATGTTGATCTGTAATGTTTAGAAACTCTTCTATTTATTTCATTACATTGTTTATCTATTTTTATTTTGTTTCATTACTATATTATATGTGAAGAACTAGATAAATTTTCGTATTTTGACATTTTGTCTTAGGGACTCTTTTTGATATTCCCGCTCAAAAAGTATTTCGTTGTATACGATGGGGAGTAGAGTCGAACATTGTCTACGTGGACTTTTTAAGTGGTATTAGTGACTTACTAATTTGTTTTTAAAAGCCTATTTACTAGTCATATGACCAGTAAATAGGCTTTTAAAAACTATCAAAAAATATCTGTAGTACTTTTCTTAAATCATTTCTTTAATATCAGAGAGTCCATAAACCATTGAACATGTAATTAGGGGGAGGAGTTTTGCTAAAAATATAACACAGTACACAACAGGGGTTAAAAGTAGCTTTAAAAATTAATGGACCTCCCCTTACATCTTGCATTTATTAATCTTGGCGTTCTTTACAGCAACTCACATGTTTTCAAAATATTTAAAATAATCATTTATGTGCCGTTTCTATGAAAAATTTTATATATTTTTTCAGTTACATCTCAATGAATATTATTCAATTAGAAACTTCGCATTACATGTCTTTTATAGATTTTATATTTGCATTTATTGATAAAAAATTAAATACAAACAGAACAATTTTTATGAATAAGAAACAGCAATAAAACTTTAGACTTATCTTTCTTTGTTAAAAGTTCAAGTTTCAAATAAAAGATTTAAAACAAGATGAAAAATATCCGTTTGCAATACAAATATGATAATGTAAACATAAAATAAAATCTTTTAAAAATAACTGTACTTTATACTATTTTTGCATGTACTCATGCGCGCGTGAATATTATGTTTAATTCATAGCGACAAATATAAAAGTAATTTCGTAATAAATCATGAGTAGACTTGAATAAGGAACAAAATCTAATTCTCGGAATAGCTATTTTTCTTTATAATTTTTTGGTTCCATCAAAAATGTACAGGTACTTAATTCTAAATACGTATAATATTCAACTTCTGCTTTATCCGGTTTTTCCATTTTCCACATTATCTATTTATATAAAAAATATTTCAAGCAATAATATTTGATTAATATCGTAAGTCATAATCATTAAAATTTGAAAAATTTACTCATATACAAAAATCAAGCATAACCATTAATTTGGCCTATATCTCTGGAAGTGCTGATCAGAACAGCTTTGAATCTAACATACAAGCAGAGCATTGTATTCTTTATGCAACAAAACAAATGAAAAGAAAAAATTTAATGCAAGTTACACGAAACAAAAAATAACAGCAAAAAGTATTTGTAAGCATTGCCACAAATCTTTTTGCACAGATAATGTGCGTGTGGTTGTCTCCTGCACTCACATACGTTGCACAGAGATTGCTCATCCTTGCGCTGTCTGAGTAGAGTTTATTCTTGAACAAGACCATCTTGAAGCTCCTAGTGTGTTTGGTAGATGTTGACGGGATGCAGCTTGTCTCCCTGGAGAATCCTACACGTTTTAAAAGTCCAGAGAGTTTGTTAGCCATTCCATATGACGAATGCCTTCACCGTGGAGAAAGACATTGACGAAAGCAGACAGCCCTATATATTTATATATAGCCCGCAAGAATTATCGTCATGAATTGAAATTTGCACTCACAGCACTTTGGAAAAGTCTCACATGGTTTCAAAACCTTGTTTCTGTATCTTCTTGCAGTTAAACAGTCTACCTCTTGCAAAAATGTGAAGCTCAATGGAGTTTCTTTACGTTTTGCTCTATTTATAACGTGGAAGTTTATGCTTATTTTTTCACATGAAGGGTAAACTTGCTTAATTCGTACCCCTTAAGGAAAAAACCATCATATTATTGAAATTAATAAACACAAATTATTTTTTATTTTAAGTAACTTTTATTTGGGAAATATTTTATTGCTACAATATTCAAATTTAGCATAAATCTTATAAACTTCTGAGAAATAAACAATTTAAAAAAACACTAAAAAGTACGATTTAGGACCATTCGTCTTAAATCGTACTGATATATTCTTAAATCGTACTTTGAGATCTTATCGTTGGTTTGCAGTCTTAAGGATAAAAATCTTAATCAATAATGTATTAATACGTGTGTATATTAACTCTTAACAAATTCGGCGGATGGTCTTCGCCAATTTTTGGCAGTCATCGCAGTTGTAATCCGTTGTTTTTTATTGGTTCCTGCGCAAAGTTCATGTACCCATATCTCACATTGTGTGCATTTGATCATACTTTCTTTTACGTCTTCTTGGCATAATGTACAGTACCAACTGTTATTTTCAACTTGTTTCTTTTTTTTTTATTCTCCTTTTGTGATATTTTAGTAGTTTTACTTTTCTTTGCACCAAGATTCTTTGATAGGTTTTTCTTCTCGAATTCTTCTATTTTATTCTCGAGTTCTTTTTTATAAGGACTTTCTGTAAGAACAAGAGC